TCCTTTAATTTAATAAGCTACTAATAACAGGCGTTTAAGTGAGCTAAACAGACTTTACCTAATCTTCAGAGAGCCCTATTTCTCCTAAGGTTGAGTGTAAATGTATTTTTAGTGCATATTTTATAATAATTTGCTTATCATTTGCTTATCAAGCGGTGATAAATAATAACAATAAAAAGTGATTGGATTAGCTACACTATAAAATTACTTCTAAGCTAATGCGTCTAGAGATTATTACCCAGCTTAGCCCGGGTCAAGATTTCTTCTTTAAATTTTTAAATTTTCCTAATTTACTTCAATATAGTTTATAGAGATCCTTGAAAGTTAGTTTGGGGCTAATCGGATCGTTACTAACAGATTTCATGCAATCGTTTCCACCTATTTTCCACTGTGGCGTGTGGAATTACCAAGAAACCCTGCTTAATTTATTCATTTCAGCCAGGACAAAAAGTTTAACATGAGTCATTATTGCTATTTTTTAATAATCAAAATTTATATAGATTTATTTTCATTGAATTGCTAATTTTTGGGGCGTGTCCCATGAGTATAGGTTTTGTCGAGATTTCAATTCTCTAGGGCTCAATATAAGCTTGAGTGCCAATTAAACAAGTCCGATTCATATCTACATATAGCTCTAAAGAGCAACAGCCAGGTCTGATGAGGACTTACCGCCATAAAATTGTCCAATTAGCAGACAAATGAGTAACATCCACGTCGTAGCTCTCATTGTTATCTCTCAGCTGGTTTTATTTGTTTGTATTTGGCAGCAGCGCACACACTTAAAATTTATGTTTGTTTTTTTTTTTTGTGAATTTGCTGCTCTATCGGAGGTAGATCGTTAACTGCAATTAATATGTTTGTTGGAACTCGATTTAATTAATTTGCCTCCAAATTGCTACAACCAATTGCGGACCCAATTGGGCGCCGCAAAGACACAAAATTTCTGTTGCTTTTTTTAAATTGTTCGAATTTTTCTTTTGTATGCGTATCGCGTCGCGTCCACCGGAAGCTCAACAAAAAATTGGCCAAGACCAAAAAATAAAATAAAATTAAATATCAAAGAAAAGCGCGCGCATTATTTGATTGATTGAATTCAAAATCAAGCTGCGAACTAAGCGACCCCAAAACCGAAACTCGTGTTGTTATTCGCAGCTGTGCGCTAGAAATCGCAGCTTCCACTGAAAAAAAGTGGACAAATTTTCGCTGATTGGCAGCTAAATGATAAACATGGCTCTAAGTATTCGCCTGGGTTATGCAAGCTGCCTCTCGGATGATGTTTTGAGCCCAGTGCGAAAAATGGAATTTGTTGTTGCTCCGCTCTGGTCACTAATACGCCCCGTTGACCGCTCGCCCCCTTACCCTCTATATCTCTCTCTCTCTCTCGCTTCGTTTCTCACTCTCCATTTATCTCTGGGCTCGCTCAATGCCAGAGCGCTTGGCCGGCTGCAAAAGTGGGTCGTGTCGGGTCGTTGAGGCTGGGGGAAGGCTACAGGCGCGTGGCGGTTAGGGGGGTGGCCAGGGTGTGCCAAGTCGGCAAGCATGCAAATATGTATGCATATAAATAAATTAATGTGCAAATGCGAAAACTCAAAAACGAAAAATACCAAAAAAAAAAAAAAACAAAACAAAAATAATTGTGAACATAGCGAAGCCTCGACACCCTTTCCATCGACATTCTAGCCATAGATTTGTGCAAAAAATATATATCTTCAAAATTAATGGGCGTACATGAAATATGTAAAGTTCTCCACGCTCTAGATATATCTGTGTCAATTGAAACAAGGCCTAAATAAACAACAATTTGGGCTAAGCCTATCTACTTGCGAATGCCTGCATACTTTGAGGCAGAGTATCGAAATGCAAACATCTAAACACATGTAGGAACATATGTATGCAGCAGCATGTTTACATTTGGCATATACTATGCACATACATGCACATACATGCATACATGGATATGTATATATATGTAACATGCGAGCTACTCACAAAATAAATTTGCAATGCTTCGCAATGCGCTAAAAGCAGCACAACGAATACTAACCCATGCCTATTCATCTATTCACATATTTGTTTTTCGCAAAAGCTTTTTTAAATGATGGATGAGTTTGAATATATAATCACCTAACACCCTTCACAAATGGAGGCGAGAGTTTTTGGTCCAAACTCCCCTAGCTATATTTTAGGGCCTATTGCAGTTATAAAACCTCATGTGACAGCTTTGACGTAAAAAAAAACACCTCTCGGTTATCAGAAATGACTATTTCGAATATATTTATCAATGTTGAGTGTTGTTAAGTCCATTGGACTTCGATTCTGACGAGGGCTGCTCAAGGTGTCACTTAAAGTATTTCTCTTAACTTTTCTTTAGTTTTAACTGTTTTATGAACTTCAGCTTGGGAATATTACAATCAAAGTTTTTATAACTTAATTCGCAGGAAATTTTCTAATACAACTTAATGATAAACTGTTCAAGGATCATTTGGCTAAATTACAGCTCTTAGAAATATTTTGGTATTAGCCAAATTGTTGCAATTCTCAACAATTAATTTCCGAACGGCTCTCGTTGCACTTCTCTTACTGCTTCGTCTTGGGGCTTTAACAATCTGTGCGCTTGTCTTGGCTTTTTCTTGTCTTGTTTTTGGTCTTGTTGCCGTTTGTTTATTTACATTGCGCTCCAAGTTTACACACACACACACTCACAAACACACAAGCGCGCAGATGCAGCCAAGGGCTGCACTTGTATGCGTGCGTACGTGTGTGTGTGTGTGTGTTTGAGGCAGCTGCAGCTGCGCTCAGTTTGCTATTACAGCGATTTTTGGAATGAGAAACAAAAACTAAAGTGCCCGCCTGAAAATGGAATCGAAAACTTTTTACTGTAAATAACAACAATCGATGTTTTTTTTTGTTTTTCGTACGTTTGTTTTCAGCTCTCTGACACACACCCTCTCTCGCTCTAGCAGCCACATTCATCTGTGGCTGCTGCTCCTGCTGCCCTACACACCAGCAGCAGCCGCCGCCCCCCTTGGCCCCCTTCTACTTCCATTTCCTTTTGTCGGCCAACTTTCTGTGCATTCATTTCGCTTTCGTTTGCAGCACATTCTGCTGGGATGGCCGGCAGCGGAGACAGACGACAACTGCAGCGAGTATTTTGCATACATTTTGCACATATTTATAGAATGCGCGGCCAATGCATTTGCATTTGCATATTGCACAAGTACGAGCTGCTGTTTTTTTTTTTTTTTTCTTATTTGTATTTCTGTTTCTAATTGCGAGTGCGGCGAGTGCCAAAATGCATTGGGGGCCGCCAAAAATTGAATTCGCTGTGGCAATGCCACATTTGCTGCTTGAGCCTTGTGGCAAGATATTTGTTATTATGAATCACGGGAGTCATAGGTGTGCGTGTACCAGAGGCTGGCTCTGGGGCTGGGGCAGCTGCAGCCGTGGCCAGGGCCAGGTAAAGAATGGATAAAGTGAAGTGCCTGTGCCTGTGCCATTTACACGGGCCAGCAGCATCTAGAGGAAGAGAAACTGGTTTTGCGTTCGCCTGCGACTGGTCGCGAGATGCGAACAACGTTGTGCGACGGACGGGACGGCTAAAGAGATGGACGGCGATACAAACAACAACAAATATTCGGCTGAAGCGTTACAAAAGGCAAACCAACTGGCAGCGACGACATATTGTACGAGCAATTTTGATTTACGAGCGAGCAGGTTACCGTCCGCAGATGCTCTTCGAAGTTGTAACACTTGCACTTGCAACGCTTTCGCTTAACTTCGTGAGGAACTTATGCCCCTTAATAAATTCATTTGCTTCAGATACTGCCGTGGAAAAGCTTTGGCTCGCTCCGCAATAGATACAACTGTGTGCATGCGTGTGTGTGTGTGTGTGTGTGTGTGTGTGTCTGCGCGCACAAAACAAATTGAAGTTTTCAAGTACTTAATGCTAGTATTGATAGGAGTATATTTGTATTATTTTTTTTTTTTTTTTGTTTTTTTTGGTGCGCTACGCGCTTTTTCGTACCCGTCGCGATGCTTTTCAAGCGAGAACTGAAAGTAAGTGTAGCGCGTGCTTGGATGCCAGTTGGGAGCCAAAAGCAAGCTGCAACGATGGAATGGAACAGAGCCAACGCTCTCACAACGCGTAACAGTTGTTGTTGCTGCTGCAGCGGCTGCGGCTGCGGCTGCTTGGGGCTGCTTGCTGCTGCCGCAGGTAAACAAATTTGTATCTTTTCCGCGTTCCTCTTATGGCGCCAAATATATCTGACCGCGAGAGAGAGAGAGAGAGACAGAAAAAGAGAGATAATCAGACGGTGTGTGGGTCCAGCAGATGCTCACAATGTCATTGTCAATTGTTGGTGGTTTTGCTCTGATTGAAGCCCTATACCGAATAAATACCCTCTACTAATGCAGCAGGGAAGTTATGCGAAGTAAAATACACGTTCAAAGTGTAAAGGTTCTGAGCTTATTTCTGCACGATTTTGAGCAATTTGGAACAATTGCAAAATACAACTATTTATAAAAATATGTTATGCTATAAGAAATGATAGTCGGCATTACTAATAGGTTAGATTACTTTATCAACTTTTCAGAATTTGTATTTTGTCTTATCAAATTTTGTTAGTCATAACGGAAATCTTATATCTTGATTTATTTGTCATCTGATGTGATGCATTGTAAATATGCCCTGTGATGATGATCAAATCACTTTAAATTTAGCTTCAGCTTAAGATAATGACAATAACATTGATAATAAGAACTATTTATCAGCAATATTTTGACTGCAAATAAATATATGCAGTATTTTCAATTTTGAAATCGTTGTAAAATGTATATAAGAATCCAGTCCAAAATTTACCTAATTTAAAAACCGTTAAACTGGTGTTTTTTGAAGCGGACTGGTAAATACGTTTTAAATTTTAAACACGTTTATCAGAAACTTCGAATTATCGATATATCGATATAAGATTTCGCATTTGGCATAAATTTGCAACACTGGCAATTTTTAATACTGAACATACTGCGCGAATCTTTGTTTACAACTCGAATAATGGACGTGCCCTTATCGGAGTTCAACTCCCTAGACTTGGAGCGAGAACTGTATGCCCGGGTTCTGAGTACCGATGGCTCGAAACAGGAGCGCTTCGGGCGCCTGCTGGCAGCGCGGCAGGCAGAGGCACAGGCGCCCAATCCACGCCCACCAAGAAGGGCTTCCATCTCAAAGTTTGGCGCCCGCGTACAACTGGACGACTTTGCTGAAATTCAAATGTACAATCAGGCCGAGTTTGATTTGTTATCTGGCAAAGTGCGCTGGAGACTAGAGCGTGTTCGCCGGACAGAGGATGGCGAGGGATTGGAGTACTTTCATCCGGATGTGCTTAGCCGTATTGAGCGCACCCACACATACATGCTTAATATGGATGAATTCCTGGTGCGACAAGAGCCGTACATACATAAGGTAAATCATATACAATTTACATAGATTTGGCTTCAAAGACTTTACGTTTCCATCGCAGATCTTTGTCATTTTCGCATCGCGCACCAATGGCCAGGGACAAGGTCTTTGCTATGCCAGAAGTTTGGCAAAACTACGCAGCTGGGATGAAAACACGGAGGAATTCGAATGGCCAGTAAGTTGGCTATTGTACTAACCAAACAACTGCATCTAACTCATACATAAAACAGCTTATCACAACTGAAAATATTGCCAGCGTGCATTTGGAGGACAATGGGGTGCTCCAGACAACCGTAAGTTAGGACAGGCTTTATGATACCTGTCAGCATAATCCAATGTTAAAAATATTCTCTTTTAGCTTATGTCGACTGAAAATATAGCCAAAGCCTTGAGCTACATATTGACGGCAATAAAGGATAAGGGACTGGAGAACTATGTTGCCATTGCCTGTGACCCGCACAGGCTCGACTTGCCAGCTGTAACAATGCTGGTGGAGGCCAGTGGCCATGTGATGCTCCCCTGTGTTTATGATATTTCCGATCTGCAAAAAACATTGCAGAACATGTTTTGTTTGGCCTGTGTACGCTGCTCAATGCGTGTGGAAAACGAGCTATATATTGAGAATACCTGCGCAGAGCAGCTGAGCAGGATCTGCAATGGCAACAGTACAAGGAACATGAATGCAGTTGTGCTGCTAACGGACTATGCAAACCGACTGCCGCAGATCTTGCACGCTATGTGGCAGTTCGAGGAGCACCGAGACAAGCCCATCTCCTTGATTGGGCTGAACAACAAAATGCTAAAAATATATGGCTCGCACGTTAAAAGAGAGCTGCCGCCAATTACGTTCGAGGACTGTGCGGCTGGGTCAGGCCTTTTGCAATTGATCGTCTTTGATGCCTTGTGGTGCATTACCCCGGAGCGTGAACCAGAAGAGATCAATCTACAACCCTTGCTTTATCAAACGGTCAGGCAGGAGTGAAAAGTACTTACAATAAATATGGGATAGGATAAATGCTGTGAGTATATTGTGATTAATTTTTTGCCGATATGAAAATAGAAAATTAATTTAGGAAATTTCTTTATTTTATTGGAACCTTGCATTCAGTACAAATATATTTATATTAACTTTAGTTATGTATATCGCATAGCGAGGCAAATTTGCATAAATATCGTTAGATATACCAGGGTATTATAAACACAGTTTGTTGCGCGGTTATGTGTCATGCTGGCGGTGAAAATATGTGATCTCTGCGTAATCTCATTCTCAAAGATCTCTTCCGTGGCATCATATTGCAGCTCCGATTCCGTTGAATAGTTGGGCAGCTCAACTAAAAATGACAATTGCAAACTTTTTAAAATCCAGATTAGGAAGACTCTCATGGACTTACCCTCGCCGCCAGTTGCGAATCGCACGGTCTTACTGTTATCGCTCCAGCCAAAGCTGTTCCTTGCCAGAACCGAGACCTCAAAGAGACTGGCAGGCTGCAGGCCATGCAGTGTGTATGATGTTATGTAAATAGGACCTGCGTTTGGGGTAGCATAAAGGAATAACGATTGTGCAATCGAGGTGTGAATGACTGAATCATTAACTAGTCCAATTGTTTTGTTTATTAAAAGCCTGAGGGTAAGAGTTGCAAGCCTTGCAAATAAGCGGAGTCTATTTAAAGATAATGTTACAGAATCATAAATATGCGAATATTTATTATTTATTTGGCTGTTTTTATAATCAAAACTCAAACGAAGCTTGGTATGTAGGTTCTCGTATAACAAATGGATTCCTCTTTCTGAAAGCCTTCTTTTTCCTCCCAAAATTTGGAAACACTTTTGTATGCCATATTTAAAACCTGAATATTTGATAAGAATCGGACCTTACACACCGAGTTTGATCAAAAATGCATTTACAATACAAAGCATGGGATTAAGGAAAAATGTTCGTTTGATGTTGTGTTCAGGGTATGCTCTAGTCGGTCACTCCCGACTTTACTTGTCTAATGTTTAACTTACCAATGGTCACTTGTGCTGGAATTGTCAGTTCTGTCCAGTTGGTTTTCACTGGCCTTGTGATATTTGCTTTAGAAATAAAAGAATACGTTTTTCAATAGGCTTAACAAATATTAGGGCATTCGACTACCTGACGGAATCTGTCGGAATCTCAGCTTAAACTCCATTATGGGCAGCATGCTCTCCGTCTGCCAGACCAGCACATGCGACGTGGAGCTCTGGGTGCCGGGATTGATCTTGAACACGCAGGGCATTGGACGTCCAGTCAGCTCAACGGTGGCGCTCCTAAAGCCAATCGAGTTGCTCGCCCGACACTCGTACTGTCCCATGTCGGCGTCGCGCACCTTCTTGATGGTCAGCACATGCTTGACCAGGCTGACATAGCTATCCAGGGCATGGCTGCCGGCCAATTCCGTCTCCTGGCTGTTGATGTGTGCGCCCATTTGAACGGGCACACCGTAATGGAACCATTGTAGCGTCGCAGCTGGCGCCGCCTCCACAATGCACTCCAGTTGTGCCCGATCTCCGACTTTGGTGTACACCACAGGATGCGGCAGCGTTGGCTCCGGAGCAACTGAAAGTATATATCGATTGCAATTACTGTCGGAGTCACAAATTGGTTGCACCCGCAAACCTACAGAGCACACGCAGTTGAACTCCCGCCACCGCCGGCTGACCAACCCCGTTAGCGGCCAGGCACTCGATCAGGCCCGCCATGCTACGCGACTTAATCTCAAAGATGTGGCTCTGTCGATTGCCCGCATTGCTGTATTGGTCCAGCGTGTTGCCGTTCAGACGCCAGCTGATCGCCGGCTGGGGCACGCCCATGGCCATGCAGACCACCTCAAAGGTGGCGCCAATGGGCAGCTCCAGGACTCCGCTTGGCTCCGTGACAACGCTGGGCTCGTATTGCACCTCAATTGCATGCACCTGGACGGCGTGATTGCTGTTTGACATAATCTCACAGTAATAGTCGCCGGTGTCTTCCGATTTTAAATTTGACACCTGCAGGCTGCCGTTGGCCCACAAAACCACACGTTCCGGTGGCGGAATCTCCGGATGACGCGAGTCCACCAAAGGCACATCATCCCTGTGCCAGCGCACATAGTGAAACGGAGCTGCGAACAAACATAACATTAAATCCTATTCAGCATGCTCAACGGTTGGTAAGCACATTCTTCATTTTTCTCGATTATATATAATTTTCCATATAAAGTTAAGGATGGGAAGAATGCTTTTGTTATCGAAATAGGTCTATATATACAGATATTTTCTATCTTTTCCTTAACTGAGGCAATTCCCATTATTTAAATTATTTATGCACCCTTCTATAACGCTAGTAAGAGGCAAGTCTTAAGGCGCAGCTGCCTCAAGACCAACTAGTCGACATTTAATTAATCAAATCCGTTTTCGTATCTATTAAAGAAAATAATAATAATAAAAAAAAATAAGATGAAAATCCATTGTGATGAACAAATTTCCTTAGCTGTCTTTTGTGCATTCATTCAAAACGCCAAAGAAACTCAATTTAGAGTCCAAATTAAATGTTATTGTTGTGTCCAATTGCGCATAGAACGGGCCGAACAAAGGAGCGCACTTTCAAGGCCCATTAAATTGGTAGCCTAAGCTGCATACTATTTTCTCTTGATTCAAACAATTTTATTGCGTTTCTTTAAATTCAATTAAAACATTAATTTATAAACTGTATAATTGATTGATTTGTTTATTTAGTGGCGCTTACTATCCAATTGGCAGGGCAATAGCACGGTGTCATTTTCGTAGGTTTTTATGGTAGTTGGAACGCTTTTAAACTTTTGATGATTCTCAAGATCATTGTTGAAATTGAGCTCGCCTCTCATGAGGGGCAATATGAGCAACAGCGATATTAGGCACAAATTCATTGGGCACATAGTGCAGGCACTTGGACTTAAATTTAACAAGTGGCTGTGATTTAAATTCGCGACGGATAATCGAATCTATGCGTAGCTCTTCCCCTTGGTCGCGTGTCGCTACTTAAACTATGTTCCGGCGCGTTTGCAATCCCGAGCTCAACTGAACGCTTGAGCGGCCGATGTGAATCTGTTCGATGCGGCGGCTTCAGAGTCGCCCCAGAGGGCGGCGACGGCAGCAGCAGCAACAGCAACAGCAGCAGCAGAGCCAGTGACAGTGACAGAGGCGACGCCGAAGACAGCTCAAAAAGTCACTTGCTCTTTCTTGCTGGGATGCCGGTTGATTAGCTGCCTTTAATGTTCGGCAACGGAGGCGCGTATTGTGCTCGAGTACATATGTGCCAGTTTGAGATACATTTTAAGTGGCAGCATATATATATATATAAACATATAGTTATTTGATGTATCTATAGATGCAGCGGAGCGTTCCATACACCCACTCCAAGCATGTCCATTTGCATGGGCCATGCATCGGTAGTTCTGAATTCTGAATCCCATTCTGATGCTGCCTCTGATCTATTACATTCTCCGCTTGAGAGAACGTGCTGCTGTTGCATACTTTGAGATAAAATGTCATTGTGCCACACACTATATATGTGTCCGCCACATCATTGTGATCGGATCAGACACATTTACACATTCACACATTCATATTTTTTGTCTCGCAGAATGGCCCCAAAAGCGAGCGAGCTGGTTGCCGACTGTCACAGTTAAAACCCTGGGACTGGACCCTCCCCTATATATCATTATGAATCGAATGCAAAGATTTTAATAGGAGAAAAAAAAAAAAACTATTACCGGAAGTGCATTTAAAAACATGTATTCAAATACGTATCATATCTATATAAATGTTGCATAATCTACTTTGCCTGATACAAACAGCTTTCCTTATGTTGGGAATTATTTCTCGTACTCTTTCTTTGATGCCATACATTCCCCAAAAAAGGAAAGGCTTAATTATGAATTACTATCTAACACATCCAAAATATATTGAAATTTTAAGATAATTATTTATTTTCGATTGTAATAAAGAAATTTAGAGAATTTAGCTTGAGATAATTCATTCTCCTAAGGAATTCCTTTGCAAACGACTCCAGAAATAAAACTTGAACAGTTTGTTATTTTGTATATTTTTATTATTTTCATTTAGAAATAATTATAAATCTCAAAGTATTACTTATACACTTTTAGTACAAACTTAATTTAAACTGATCATAATTATTATTTTATGCCCACGCAGAAAGTTTACAGCTTTTCAAGACTTCCCAGAAAAGCTTATGTTATATACTGCGGAGATGTTTAGTTCGACATGTTGGGTCGATATAACTATGTATCCATAGATACGAATTTTGAATTTTATATAATGGTTCGAGTCGAATAGTAGATATTTCTCGACTTTTAAAATTAAAGAATCGCTTATATAATTTCCATCTATTATCGATATTCAAATTTGTAAAGTCTGTTAAATCCGTTGATGTAATATATATAGAGTATATGTATTATTCTCCACTCGATTCGATGGTGACCTTTGACAACTTGACGTAGCTCAATTCGAACTCCCGCAAAACATGTGAAAGGCGATCGCTTTCAATTAAAAGACAATTTCATCGAATTAATTAAATTAAATGTGGACACGAAGGGGGCTCCAACAGCTGCGCAAACAAACTGCAAACCAATTAAAGAGACGCCCGAAAGACTAAGCCCGCTTCGAGGCGAACAGCACACATATATATATATATATGTATAACCATATGGAGGTCCCACTTGGAGTCGGTAATGCACTCATCATCGGGGTACAGTTGGGCAATTACAAATACATTTTTGGACACATCGTGTGTTGTTGGCGATCATTGAGTATGGTACGTATTTATTTGTAAACCTGACTACAATAACTGATTTCATTTAAAGTTAATACAGCGCTGAATGCTTACAACCGATGTATTTAATATTAGTTGTTGATGAACGTGTGCATGCTTGGTTGTAGGTACACTTATATGTATGTATATTGTGGGAAATAACAAATACAATTGTAAATTTATAAAAACATTGACTATTGGATTATATAGCAACTAATACAGTTAAAAACTTATCGCTTATAAAAAATACAAAGGACACGCGATCCTATGACTATACGTAATTATAATAATATAAAATAGCTGGTAAATGAGTTTAGTTTGTATAATTTTTGCTAATTGTTGTTCATCAATTATATGTATATATATATATATATATATAAACCAGTGGCAATTATTATAAATTAACATAGATCCGAGGAACAGAGACAGAAGTATCAGAGAAAACTCCCTTGGGACGGGACATTGGAATGCAAACGCATTTGTCTTCTGTGCGAAAGTCTTGGTTATTTCGTCCGAATGGGGATTTCTTATGACACCCCTGAATGAAAAATAAATATGGTCTCTATATCAGTACATAGCGATATATTCGTAAACATACAATACAATTTGTAAACTATGCCTATAGGTGATGGAGCCAGGTTGGAGCGTTTACAAACTTTCCTCCTTTGTCGTCATAATAATCGATTACGTTTAATTACTCGTAACACCACACTAACCTAAGTAAAGAACATTGTTAATTGAACGCTGCAGCTAGATGAGGCCGCGCTTCTTTTTGTAATCTTCCAGGTTCAGTGAACGCTTGGACACCGTCTCGGTTGGTTTATTCGCTGGCTTTGGCAGCGCATTGGCGCTGTTCACTGCAATTGGAGGCGTGTTAATATCAAACTATTGGAACAAAGGTATCTGTTGGACTCTTACCTGGCAGCGGTACGTCTAGGTCTATGTCAAAGTCGTGCAGTGAGTACAAGCTGTAGTCCTTGCCATCGGCTGGCTTCGCGTTGGAAGTGCTTGTTTCATTGGGCTTCTTTTTGCCTGGCGGTGGCGGTGGCAACGGGACTGCCAGCGACTCATCCTCATCCTTTTTGGTGCCCTTGAAGCCCATGCGAGGCTGTGTAATGCGGCGCGTAAATGGATCTGATATCTTCATGCCTTTGTTGGCTCGCGCCTCCTCCATGATGGCCTTCTCAGCGTCCTGCACGTTGCGCTTACGATTGCGGTCATTTATGTAGGAAATCAAATTGAGACTGTGGGAACGTCGCTTGTCTAGCTCGGAGGCACGACTCTCTAGCTGATCGATTTGCTGGCCCAGATCGTTGGCAATATCGTAGTCGCCACGAAGCATAGCCGCATCACGCTCCTTCATGAGGCAGGTCTTTTTCATGGCATAGTTGGTGGGGCGATTGCGGAAGCGATTCTTCTCCTCAACAATCTTGTCTACGTCCTCGTCCTTAAACTCGTAATTCAGGGCCTTCTTAATATCGTTCGCCTTGATCTCAATCAAATCAATTGTTGGCATGGGCACGTGCTGCTGCTGACAGATCTCAACCCATTTGTTAAACTCGGTTTCAGTGAACTCCTGATTAGATATAAACTCCAGCCGAAAAACGCGCTCCTGTGTGCCGTGCTTGAGACGCAATCCCCGATTGGTGCGTGTCGTGCCAAGTGTGTATATTTTGCCGGTCTCCACAACGCCCACGATCTCGGCCACCCGATACACGGGCTTCTGGCCATTGTTGCCAATGCTGATGCGCACAAAGCAGTTGACTACGGTGCTCTCAAATATGGGCAGATTGACGAAGCGCTCCATTTTGAAGCGGGATAGCCGCAGCTTGTTTAGATCCTCGCGGGTGGTTATAAACACGGGGCTCTTTGTGGCCTTCTCGTCGTCCTCGGATTCGCTAGACGCCTTGCTGCTGTTCGAACGTGAACGTTTGCCTGCCGGCTTCTCTTCGTCATCCCAATCGCTGCTGCCCGAATCGTCTGAGTAGATCTCCGAGGCTTTCAGCTTTACCGCCGATTTACAGCCAGAGACGCTCTCCAGTTCCTCTTTGTCATCATCTCTGTCGCGTTCTGCTTGTCGCTTGGCTTCCTCCTCCTCTGCAATGAAAATAGTTGTATTATATATGGATTTTGTGGATGATTTTGTACTTACCTCGCTTGGCTTTGCCTTCACGCTTGGCTTTGAGCATGGCCATGGCGTTACTGCGCTTGTCATCGGTTTTATTTGCCTCGACGTTCTTCTTTCGCTCCTTGGAGCGCTCCTTGTGATCAAAGTAATCGGCCACGTTGCCCGAACTCTGCTCTTCAGCGTTTTTCTCGGCGCTGCTGCTGGTTGTACTGGAGCCAGTGCCAGACGTCGATGGACCCTCGCGTATCGATGGTATGGGCGAGGGGCTCTTGGCCGAAGCGCGCGCCTCTGGCGCACCGCTCTTGCTGGTATCTATGTCAGCTGTGGTTGCTGCCGGCACGGGTGGTGCCAAGTCCTTTGATTTTTTGCTGCGTTTGTCCTTTTTGGACTTCTTTTTGGCACGCTCTCCCTTTGTCTTTGACTTCTCGTTCTTTTCGCCACGACGGGCGAGTTTGAGCTTCCGCTCAATCTCCCATCGGGTGCGCATAATGTCGCGCTGTTCAATCCGCTTGAAGATCTCTGTTTCGCGCTCCTTTTCGGACAGTCCATTCAACCGTTTGCGGTCCTCTTCGTCGCCCATCAAATCGTCATCGTAGCCATCATCAAACTCTGAATCGGAACTAGACGATGACGAGCTAGATGAATCCGATCCAGAGGGAGAGCCAGACGTCGATGATGATTTAGACTTGGATTTCTCATTGTCTGAATCGCTGTCGGACACCTCGCCCTCCTCCTGTTCACTTTGAATGTCTGGCTTCTTGTGTTCGGGCTCAGCGCGCTTCTCCACGGGCGCTGCGACCTCATCCTGACTGTCGTCATCCCAATTCTCCTCGGAAGAGCTCGAATCTCTGTTTGTCTTCTTTGGACGCTTCTTTTTTGAGGCTGGCGCACTTGATTTATTGTTTGCCCAGTCCGAATCTGAATCGGACTTTGAGTTCGGGGCTTTGGTGGCATTGCTTGGCTTCTTTCTCTTTCTGGCCAGCGACAACAAATCCTGCGTGCCAAATAAATATAGATTTTTACAATAAAATGCTGCGCATTGATTTGTTACATCGCGGAAATTTCACAAAGGCGTCCTTCCACATTTCTTATGCATAACTCACCGATTCCAAGTTGGTGTCCGCGTCGCTATCACTATCGCTCGAATTTGAGTCGATTAGAGACTGCGTACGACGTTTTCCCATTGTAATTTAAGTAAAATTTGTGCCAAACAACGAGTTAACCTGCAAACAGTGTGAAAATAAATAACTAACATACATATATACAGCGACAAGGCCTTAACATTTTGCTCAACTGTTATTAACAGCAAGCATTCATTTCGTCGCATATAAACTGCGGTTGATAATGTAAAGTTAAATATAAATACGCATTTTCGTATAAAATATTGTTCTAAATAGATTTATAGTAATTATATAATATAATTTGCGTTTTGTTTAATGCAAAAACATAAAAAACGTTTAATCTAAATTTAACAGCTGGCAACTTACTCCGAATCGTTGTCTCTAACATTAGATAGAAATGCCTTAACAGAGCCCCAACATTGCGCGGGTGCCTATCGATTATTAATTGCAATAATATGTTTCCAAAAATATATGCAGCGAATTTGATTTATAGTTGATAGTTTAAAAATTATTGGGTAAATTGAAATTCTGAGAAGTGAAAAATGTATGTTTATGGAAATATTAAAGAAACATCCCATGTAAAACCACCGATACGACATCGTTTTACAACACTTGCCGCCCGATAATCACATTGTTTGATTTTTAGTATCGTTAATCGATATGTTTGGCTGTGGCAAGTTGGTAGCTATGAAACATTGGCGCATTTTCAAATGTGTATATCTAATTATTTCACAAGGAAATTCAAATGCATCTGTATCTTATTGTATCCGTTGTACATCTGCAGTTTAAGGCTTGGTAAAAGATCAGCTAAGGCGTTTCCCTCGTGGTTGGCGGGCACGAGAATAACCACCACAGTATGTCACTGCTTGTCGTAAAAGGCGACTAAAAGAGACAACTTCCTGGAGCCTTAAATCTCCTTGACAATAGCTTATACTTATTATAAGGAGTACAGTTCGACTAACTACTTACCATGTAACCTAAGCTATCTTGCCTATGTAAACACACTTGGTGCAGGGTATACAGGTGTTTATATTGCAAGCAGCTTACGCAAAATAACTGTTAACATTATTGTTATAAATTATACAACGATAATTGAGTTACATTAGTGGCCATTTGTGGCAGGTCCCTAGTAAATGAGCCAAGTACGCAGCCTCCGAGCGCACATTGTTACACATTACCGCTGACTGTAAAGAGACACCTAACAATATGTGTTAGTTCGAGGGGAAGGTGGTGATATAAATTACTGGCGACGTCAAATTAAGAGAGAGAACTCAAATTAAACAGGTGTACATTCAACATCGTACATTGACCGCTTCCGACAAGTCCGCTCTTAAGAGTCACTTGCTGGATAGTAAGAACGCAAACAAGTTTGAGTTGGATGGTGGAGAGATTCGGTTCGAACAAGATGTTGGTAAACATATGTTAAATTTCTTTTAGCTGCAGATCATACACTTTCTGCCCCAAAGAAGTGCTCTTCGGCGTTCTCTTATATTGCGTTGCTCTTCTATTGCTGCCCATATGACTGGAGTGGTCCGTTCCCCAAGAGCACCAAAGTAAGCTGCGTCTGCAGAACTTCTTTTTTCTAACTTTTATAACAAGCAACTGCAGGAAAAACTTTAGTTCTGCGTTAGCCATCGTTTGGATGAGTTCGGCCTTCTGTTTCTCGTCTGAGTTGAAGTGAAATATAAAATAAAATCAATATTTGTGATCTTGTCTTGTTGCAAGTGCTAGCAAGGTTGGGACACATTACACACAGTCCATTAAGCAGATTATGAGATTTATGACGTTATAAAGTAAAAAAGTACCAAAAGAGAAACCAAGTGCAATACGTAAGGTAAGTGACGCAACTAACCAAATAGTTAAGGCATGTTTACAAAGGAAACGATAATTAGGATTATTGTTTAACAAGTTAATCCAGCTGGCCAAGTGTTAAGCCTCTTTTCTATTGTTGTCATCCAACATTTTCGTGCTATGCACAATTCTTACATGTGTGTATATATATTCATATTTCATATGTAAATTAACAGCTTTGGCAACAAAAAAAAAAATAACAAAAAACCATTACCCATACCTTAAGAATAAAAAAAAAAACCATTACACTTACTGGAGGAATGACTAAGAAAAATCACAAAAAAGATGTTAACCGGTTTGTTCGAACCGCAGCGACAACGGCGTCGGACATCTCTGGGTATGGGAGGATGGATAGGAGGCAGTGCATAAATGTGGCAAAGAAAGATTCTGTAAGACACTAAACTAAACTGTAAGACTGCAGTGGGAAAAAGTGCGGCAGTTAAGAGCTAAGAGCTGAGAAAGAAATAACATAACATAAAACACATTCAAGGCAGCAGCATACGATTTTTAAATAAAAATCAACAACTTCCGTCCAAAGCTTTAATGAACGGTTGCATTTTACAGTTATATTCCACAATGGGATAACAGTAGGTTTCCAATCGTGGGTTTGTCTTGATTAAAACACAGCTATTCGGTTGGATGACCACGAATTCAGCTCTTTATAGATATAACGGTAAATTTAAATTAATTATATTATTGTTAATTAACGTTCTCATGTTAAAGAGTGAGTTATTTATCATTATTCCAATATTGGAAGGAATATGGAATGACCAAAAGGTCCATTCCATTCCAGATTAGCCTCGTTTTAAAGTGAAATCAATTTCTTGGAAAGAGACCTTCCAATCCTTTAAACAAAAAGCTTAATTCTTAAGTTATTTCTCGTAATTCCAGTAGTTTCGGATGGAATATCTGCAATTTTAAAGGGTTTCTTTTATTTTCACTCCAACTTAGCCTCCTTTTGAAGTGAAACAAACTTGGAGGGATAAGTTCTATATATTTACTACTTGCAAGTAGTTAGGCAGAAGATTAGTTTATTATAATTCCAATGGACTTTTAATATAAACAAATTCATTTTGCGTTCATTCCAATATTGCTGGAAGGAATATCTTCAATATTAAAAGGTTTACTTTATTTCCATTCTAGCTCAGCTCCTTATTTATGTTACAAGATTAAGTATTCAGATACTAAATGTAACTCCCTTAGGGATATATTCAAATTCGAATTTGTTTACAATTACTTTTGGTTTTATTCATGTTTCCCTTGACCAAATATTCTCGACTATTTCTGCATACGTAAAAAAGCGGAAATTCGAAAGATAAACAGAGCTCGGTAAACTTAACGGGTTTTTGTTTTGGTAACTGCGTGTTGGGCTGGCCAATTTCTTTCCTCAATTTTGATCATAAATTAGCTGTATAATTGGCCGCTAACACCTAGAGAAACACAGAAAAACTAATAAGTGTGTCAACAGGCATACTACGCACACATGCATAGAAATCTACTTGAGCTGAGCTTGGGTGTTAAGACCACCGACTCGTAGATGGAGATACATACTATGGGCAGGTATGGCCAGCACCGTTAAGCATCCAAGATTTGCCAGTGATAAACGCCTATTGAAAATTCCGACTACTGCATGACACAAATAATCGAGCCGCTCAAATGAATGAATCAAATTGGCCCGAACTCGCAGCATGCAGAATAGAGAGAAAGTTCTTTTAACGGGTTTTTTTTTCTTCTTTCGGCTGTATTGATTTTGGCCCGAGTGTGGACTTTAAAATGACATCACGCATAGACAACTATTCAAAGTCTATTTGTATAGGGTAAATAGAGCCCATCAAAATGTAGTTCCTTAAATTCTAGAGTCGAGTTTGCGGCCCTCTCCCCTCCTGTTCTCGGCCAGCATAGTCAGGATCCATATACACGCCCCGATTTGGAGCATATCTTGGAAATTATAAGAATACACATTAAGTTTATTTCATTTTTCGCACCTATTCCCGCTCACACCTTAATTAAACAACCCATTTTAGAGCTGTGCGAAAGCGGAGCAACAGCCTCTGCCCAAAGTGCGGAACTTGCAGCATGCGAATTTTGTTAATGTGTTTGTGCATGTGCGGGTGTGTATGTGTGTGTGTATGTGAGAAACTATGAATGTATGTTATGACAATACGAAGCGGGGTGCAGGGTATCTCATAGTCACTCGACTGTCAATGGGTCACTTCAACTGACAATACCCTGCAGCTCTTCAAAATATAACTGCGGGCTTATAGATGCATATAGATCTGATTTGTTAATTAGAGAAATTAGATAAATCAGGAGTAGCAGAAGATATTAAGAGATACCATAATAGATCTGTGTTGGCACTCGGCTTAGCTTAGAATAACTTCTTCGTCAACTGAGCTGAGGATCTCTCAGAGCCTCTTCATATATATACACAGAAGTTAATAGGATCTGGATACGAATTTCATAATATGGAAAAACGAAACGGTTCATATATATTGAAAGCATCATAAATAATAATATAACAATAATAAGACAATAAATAATAATTACAAATATAACAAAAATAATAACTATCAATAATAATAAGAGCAGAGCTGCCTGCATGTAACATGCCTGCAGACAACTTGACTATGCCCTTTTCAATAGGCGCAGGGTATACAAATTGACCTCATTATCGTGTGGGTTTTCTGAGCATTTGAAAGAAAAGAAGCAAATAAAAATAAAAAATAAATAAAAAAAAGGCCAAACAGATGACCACGTCGGTTGAAGTGTTGGTGAAATTGAACAAGTGAATCTCAGCATACCAATTCGTGTGCTCTCCAGTTGGGTTTTATGTGCGCCATAAAAGGTTATTTGCATATGGATCGACTCTGTGATGGATAATACGATAGCACAGTTTGTAAATAGAATAATGATATGGTTATTAAATGGAGCTTACGACAGCTGCAACTATCTATGAATTAAATATAACCGAAGCCGCGCGCTGGGCTTTTGGGCAAAGAGCCGGTTCTTCTTTTCTTACTTAGTTTTTTTATTTTGGTGAAATTGTTTTGTCTAGCTGTGTAGCTGGGTAGGTGTGTGTGTGTGTGTGTGTGTGTGTGTGTGTGTGGGGCAGGTGAGTGTCGGTGTCGGTGTGTATCAAATACCGTTGCGTCGACATTGTTGCCAATGAAGATTAGGGTGCATGGCTTTCTGGCCAAGAGGCTGCTGGGAGAGCTTTTGTTAGCCGCAGCGGCATTTGCAGCATGCAATTTTCATGTTTGGCTTGCGCTATGCACGCCACTGTAAAAACACACACACAAACACACACACAGGTGTGTGCGTACGCAGTAAAATTCACTGTTAGAATAACAAGTTTTTCGACCTGTGAGTTCAATTTTTTAGTGAATACTATGCGAGATGGGTTGGTTTTTTAAGAACTGTTGCTAGTAGTAGTCGCTGGCCAGCCGTTGCGCTTGGAAAACTCTGCTAATTGGAAATGAGACGGTTAAAAGCAGCCAAAAGAAAACTCACCCAATGCATATATATGCATGTGC